TTTTAATGAAGGAAGACTTGTGAAAATAAATAATAAAATGAATAGATATATTTTAAATGGGCTGCTTAAATCCAGAGGCGTAGCCAGAAATTTATCATAAGGGTGGCCAGGCAATAACCAATGTATACTGAGGGGTGGCCGAAAGCGGATAGGCACCAGAACCTCAGGGTCAATCTACACTGTTCCAACAACATTAATTAGCAAAAATCCATATTTTCTAAATAAAGACAAATTATAATTTCCTACAGCCTTTGCTAACAAATAGAAAAATATATTTAAATATTCATAATTTTTAGATAAAAGGTAAAGTGGACAAAACTCAGTTTTGAGTTCTTGGGCGTAAATCAATCATCATTGTCATTGACTTACCTACTTGTATAAAACATTATGCATAAAGTTGATATTTAGAAGTACCAGTATCTACATTAATTATTTGATAAGTTTTTATTAAAATTGTTATCTTTGATTTCACTGAAGACTCCTAGATGACTTGCAGACACATCATTTTCTCTTTACCCAAAATAAGACAAAATCTAGTTCTGAAAAGAGCATTAATTATGTACTTATCTTTAATGTTAGTATATTGATGTGTATATTTAACCATAAACAAAATAAAATGTTTTGAATATTCCACTTGAGAGTATTACTGCTGCCACCATTTGTATTAGAGGGGGAAAAAATGGTAGGGGTGGCGAATGATTGGCTAAGGGTGGCCATGGCCACCCCTGGCCCGCATCTAGCTCCGCCCCTGCTTAAACCCCAGTTAAGCATTTCATCCATCCATCCATCCATTTTCTTTACACGCTTGTCCCAAGTGGAGTCGCGAGGGGTGCTGGTGCCTATCTCCAGCAGTCAATGGGCGAGAGGCAGGGTACACCCTGGACAGGTCGCCAGTCCATCAGATGCAGCAGTTAAGCATTTAAAAAAGATAATAAATATTTGTCTGATATTAAGAGACAATTTCTTTAGGAAATTCTGCGCAACCATCAATTTGTTAGTTTTTTTTATATTACAAAGACTGGCTGGATCCTCATCGCTTTTGCCAAAAAGAAACGAGCCAATGTCAGGGTCTAAAGAGCCACTTGGGTTGCATGTTGCAAACCCCTGCTCTAAATTGTCAACAGATTACATAAACAGGATTTAACTCTTGTTTATAAAATGTTCAAAATGCTTTTCCTTCATTCATCTTGGGCATCACTGCACAAACTGCATTTTTAGCTCCAGGGGACATTTGAAGGCAGTTCCAAAAGGGTTGCATGAAGGTTCAAACCAGCATGAATGAACCTAATGGGGAACCTCTGAATGCAAATACACAAATCAATCTTCAGACTCATTTTAAGGAATGATCCTTTACATTTTCCAAAAGATGTATATGTATGAAAATGTATTACTTCAACATTCATAGGAAAAATATTAGAGATTAAAACTTTAATAAGATAAAAAATGCATATGTTATCTCTGCCTTTCGTTTGTCAAAACTACCTGTAAAACTGCGTCATGCTGAGCAGACTATGAGCAAACACTCCTCACAGTATGCAAAGTCACATGTGAATAAACACAGTAACCACAATGTGTTAAGATTAATGACTTTATTTAATATACTAATCAGTACTCTCATTAATATCCATCATTAGGCACATTACATGTAGATCAACAGGGAGTAGAGCTGTTAACATGCCTTTCTTAAATAACAGAATGGAAAAACATGGCATCGACACGGCAGAAACATTGTTTTGTTTTTCTGTTTAGATTGTGGTAAAGGTGTAGCTGTCTACATGTGTTAAATCATAGCTAGAGTTGTGATTCCACCGCATTTTTATTTACCGATGGCTACGCCTGTGCCGTTTATGTAAATCCCACACCATGTTCGGTTTCTTCATATGTGTGTCTCATTTATTGTGCAACAAGAGGTTTGTTCTGGTGTTCCCTCCCGTAAGATGCATCAGCGTCTGCAGGTACGTGCCAAATGTCTCAGAGGGTATTAGAACTCTGGGCTCTGCCAGTTCAGGCAGGTTCCTGGACACCTTGCCACGTCAGCTACATCTTGAGCTGGTTATACCTGAAAGTCAGAGCCAGAAACACTGAGGCAAAGTTCCCATCGTGCCTCTGGAGGAAGAGCTAACCCGTACTTTGCTACCAGTGATGAGGAAGAAAACAATCTGCAGCATAGGAAGAAATAAATGTTATCCTGGCTACAAATCAGGTTCATAGAACTTTTGTTCTGCACAAGAATAAATGTAATCAGGAGCAAATACATTGTAAACATGAATTTCTTTTTGTAAACACAGCTAAGTTGAACCTGCATCACTGAAAATGGCTAAAATGTTCACTTATGTTACTCACTTTCATTACTTTACAACAGAAGTGTCTAGAAGCATTCTCCTCTGAACACATTGAGATAAAAAAAATAAAAACCGTCTGCTTGAAGAGTCAAGAGAATAAGCTGCCCAAAGATCACTTTAACTCAACCAGGAAGTCAAACAAAACCCCAGAACTACATATGTGCTGTGTTCAAATCTGGAAGCTGCATCCTTCGAAGGCCAGATTCGTACGCAGATTACGTCAGATTGCACCAAGGCCTGTGTGGTTCAGAAAACTCCTCGTTATGCAGCTGACAAATACATCCTTCTTTTTCTCGTTTTAAAGGATGGGACCAGTGCATCCTACGTAAGCCCTAGGTATCCCATGATTCATTGCGAGTCCAAGTAAGCAGCTGCTCCGTGCTCAGAGGAAAAAGGTAAATGGCGCCGAACAGCAGTGGATATCTGAAGTACAGTTTAATATAATAAAATTATTTGTTTTAATTTAATTAATTGTTAATTTAAATGGTTAGTGACTCAGATATGTGGTGGGTAAAGTTTGGTTTAAAAGGTTTAATCTGTCTCTGTGTAAACAGGTTTGGCTGTAATTTAAGCTCAGATTCCAATATCTCTGCAGTGTGGGGACTATGAATCTGATATTCGCAACGACGTCCTGCTGCTGAAATTTTTCATCCAAAATTAGCCCAAAGAACAGCAGTAAGAAGTTAGCTTTGTGAGTCAACTGACATGGTTTCTAGGGTACAGTGTTTATGCTGAGTTAGGGGCGGTGAGGGGGGAAGGCTGGACCTGTTCGATCCTATAGCCAAACTCTTCTGGACTACTTATTTTGACGGCCTCCGAAGAACCCAGTCCAGGTAGACCTGGTCCTTGGAGGACGCAGCCGCTGAATTCGAACATAGCAAGAAAGCTCTGATAGGCCTCAGATTTAAAACTTAAGGTCAGAGGTTATAATGCAGCGATAAAAAAAAAAAGGCCAAAGCAGCCTCTGTGGGAGCATTCCAAAGTTGTATACCACACTGATAAAAAACTACTCAAAGGCCTTATCAGTAAACACCCCGATGACCCCAAAACATCAGTGTTTTGTTACCACTAACAAGGCAATAAATAATAAATAAATAACGGAAATGCTACCGGTCAAACATGGTGGAAGTTGGGTCATGCTATGGGACCACGTTGAAGCTCAATGATCTGGAGGATTTATAATAATAATAATTGAACATTATTGATCTCACATTGGAGAGATTTACCTCAGTATTTAACCCATCCCCCTGTGGAGCAGTGGGCTGCCATCATGGGGCGCCCAGGGAGCAATCAGGGGTTAAGGGTCTTTACACAGAGACCCTTTTCAGTAAGATGCTTTTCTATACCCACTGTAAGACAGATCACTACAGGAGATTATAAGACCATGTCTTTACTAAGAGCCTGGCTGGTTTGTGTTGATTTTTTTGCTAAAAAAACCTAAATAATCATTCATAAAACTGCATTAGAGTTTTACTTAGGTTTACCTCATCTTTGCACTTCTAAAATATTTTAGATTTTCAGAAACCTGCAGGGAAAGTACATTTTACTGTATTGTATCTATGCTGTGCTCAGCACTCAGTAATCCTCATAGATGTGGTTCCAGCCCACATCTACGATTTTTTTAAAGTTTCTTTGCTTCAGTCTCTCACAATGCAACTGATATCATATAAAAATAATGTCCAATAAATCCTTCATTACTGTAGATTCTGCCCAAGTCCAAAATTCCCTTCTTCCCCACCTGAGGTCAAACCAGAAATGCAGTTTAATTTCTGCTGTATTTATTGAGTCTCTTTATGATTTTAGGTTATTTTGGTCCTTCACCAATCTGGTGCATCGTCTGGTGCAAGCAAATTAATCATCTTGCACTTAACTGCTGAGTGCAAGTTTTGATGAAAAGTGGAAATTCTCCAATGGGAAAAATTGACTTTTTTTCTCATGGAACATGGTTGATTTTTATGGATTTTCTTTTCCATTCCATCTCTGCCTTGTTTTTGGTTTCTGATCTTGGGTTGAGAAGGTCACACTGTCACCATGGTTACAAAGGATGAGGGACTACTGCAAAGACAATGACTTGATGCAATCAGCCGGGCTGCCTACAGTAGATAACAAGTTGGCATTGACTGAATTTTATTGTATTCTATGGTAACTGGATTAAACTGGCTACAATTAAATGCATCTAATCAGATAATCGGATTGGATTAAGCAGCATGAACCAGATCACTTTTCATGTAAACTACCTTAAGATGATATTTGCTGTGATTTTTTTCTCCATGAACAAAGCAATAGAGGAAGCAATGATGCTGCAGTTGAGATTGCCACTTTAAACTGGTAATAATTAGAGGAATTGGATCAGCTCTCACTCTACAGCGAGATTTCCCCCATCAATCTTTGTTTTCTACTCTACAGCTTGAAATCAGCCGGTGGTGAAATTCCAATTTGAGCTTCATCCCTTTCCTTCCTGCTGTGGCCTTGAAACACACCAACACGACATCTCCCCCCAGCTGTGAAATAACCGCCTGTGTTTCTGCCCGACAAAACTCCATTTCTCCAACACACGCTTGCATTCACGCGGACGTTGCACTCCTGGAGGATTCTGTAATCCCCATCGGTCCGACTGTACGCGTCCAGGAGAACTGATCGATACCATCCAATCTGTAGGCAGCTCTTTGCCTCGGAAGGCCACGGCTGCTTTCCCAACAATGAATGGGCGGACGCACAGGGACCTGTGCGACAAATGAAATCCCATTAAAAAGCGGGATCTCCCGGGGGCCAACTGTGACCTCTGCTTCTTCCCTTAGACTGCAACAGCAACATGCTCCCATCCAGGATTTAAAGAAAAACCAACTCATGCTACATCAGCATGGATAAAAGCTTTTGCTAAATATCCCTCTGATATAGAAACTGGTAGCTGACATTGAAGGCTCATTATACTGGAGGCTACAGGTCTTATTTACACTGTGACACATTTAGTAGCAGAGATGTTAACAGTTTTGCTTCATTACAGACACGTGTGCTTCTATATGCAGATTAAATGCCTATAATATCAACAGTGAGTGGCCATAGTTAACATTTATAGCTGAGGTTTAAGTGGCTCATTACATTGAAATGATGCACAGCCTTGCAAAAGTTTTCAATTTATGCTTTTGGTATTAAACTTCAGAGGAATTTTTCTGGATTTTTGGCTATGGACTAAAACAAAGTTGCACTAAATTGTCAAGTGGAAGAATATTATAGAGTCTTTAGCATATTTTGCAAATAAAAGTCTGGAAAAGTCCATGCATTTTCATGTGATGCAATTATCCTTTGGAAAGCTCCTCATCAGTAAAATGAGGAGAGCCCAACTCAGATTATATAATCTATACATAATTGTACAATTGGAGATTAAACTGAACTGTTGTTGAAAAGCCTGACTGAGAGGTTTCTCAACAAGAACCGTCATGAAGACTAAGGAACATATCCGATGAGTCCTGCATAAACCCGTTTGAGCATTTTACAGAAAATAATGTAATCCCCTAAAATTAGAGTATAATTCAGGACAGCAGTCAAGAGGAATATATTGACTCTGGAGGAACTGCAGAGATCTACAGCTCATGTGGAAAAATCAGTTTATGAGATTAACATTTGTTGTTAGCTCCACAAATCAGACCTATATGAAAATCATGCAATTGGAACAGGCAATGTAGGGATGACAGCAAAGATTAAAAAGCTAATTTTTTTTTTTTAGCTATAAGAGCGACAGTGAAAGGCTTTAGATCCAAACATAAATATGCATTAGAGTAGAGTGGTCTAATTAAAACCCACAACTGATAAAATAGTCTGGGGAATGATTTGAAAATGGATGCTCAGAGTCGCTTTCCATCTGATTGGAATGACATTAAAACTATTATTCAAAGAAGAAACCAAGAATTCTGTCTGCAGGTGCGAAAATACACTACACACTTTTCAGGTTTGTATTCGTTAAGATTGTGCTCCTTCCACTTCACATTTCTTCACTACTTTGTGTTAATCCATTAAATTAAACCCTGAAGCTTTAGCTTTTAAAGCGACATGAGAAAGTTGAAACACTTTTGCAAGGCGCTGGATTCGGTTGGTAACGAGTAACAAGTAACAGCCTGACGAGCTTCGGCTAACAGCACGTCTACGGTTCTTGAATATAACTTTTCTAAAAATAGTTTCAAGCACTGAGATGGAAAAGCAGACAAAGCAATGCGAGAGAGAGGAAATGAAAAAAAGGGTCTCCTCATTTGTCATCTGTAACGTCTTTTCTTCTTTTCCTCTCCTCATTAAAGTGAAGAATCTCAAGTCAAAACATTTCCTCGGTCCCAGGGACCCGTCTCCTTTTTTCTTCCTGACATCCTGCCCCCCCCCCACCCATTGGGTTGCCAAATTAATTTCAAATCCTAAATCCAAGCACCGTGCTTTTAGAGACAATCGTGGGACTTCCTGTTAGCATCTCCCTTGAATTGTTTTGATTTTCCCAGTGACCTCTGCCTGATACTAAGCCAGGTTCAGTTTTTTTCACAACTTGTGTTCCTCCAGGTCCATCGTTCGCCCTGCAAAGGCTAGTTCACAATATAGACACGGCATAAAGCATAGAGAGATATGGATACTTCACTACTCGTCATCTAACACTTTTTGACAGGCCGTTTCACAGAATGACAGAGAGAACAAAGCACAAACACAGACGGGCGTGTAAAATGTGTCACTCTCTTGTGTTTCCAAGAACGCAGTTTGAAGATAAAGGGAAAAAGAAGGGCAGCGGGAGGTGTGCAGTCCTGTCAGCAGCCTTTTTTGGGTTTTTTCTCCTTCTGGCTTGCAGAATGTCTTCAGTGGAAGCAGGAGCTTGCTCAGCAGAGGAGGATGCATGGGAGAAAGGTGCTGGACTGGAGAGGCTACCATGCCACGGAGACGTGTTACTGGAAGAGACACTGGAATTATTGTGCAACTACGGAGGAAATGGTGCAAAAACTTCCTTCATATTGGCCATATTCTTAAAACAAATGTGCAAATCACTACAGTCTGTGTGAATCTCAGTCATGCTTGAAAGAAGTTGTAGCACTTAAAGTTTGAGGACGGTTCGACTAAGAGGAAGCTTTTTGACGGAAGCTTTGGGAGATTTTCAGGAGTGGGTGGTGGGAGCGGAAAGTCTTTTTTTTTTCCAAAGATCAGTCTTTTTGGAGGGAAAAATAATGGACAGACACCTGAAGAGCGAGATGAGGAACTTTGATTGGTCCAGAATGAAGCTCTAGATGGATGGGAGGGGAGGCGCGGCGTGCGTCCTCATCGTTCTGTGACCGGGTAGGCCTTTTCCATCAATCTACGGTGAAGACGGCGTGCACTCAAGAGAGGCTGTGGAGAAACAGAACAGATGGAAAATGTTAAGAAACAGAATATTAGAAATAGGACAGGTCAGCGTGAAATGGAAAGGAAACAAGCTCCAGCCGGGAGGAGACAGAGGTTGACAAACACTGGAGGAAATGGGACCAAGATGACAGGAAGAGGTAGGAGGGGCGGAGGGAAAGCGAAGCACAACTAAGTGACGTAAACCGGACAGAAATTAAGAAGTTGAGATCAAACAGGGGAGAAAATAAAAAAGGGAAAATGGCTAAGATAACAAGTGGAGACAGCGAGGCATAAAAATGGATCTGGGGGAGGATGGAATTAGAAAAACAGAAGTGGGAGCGGAGAGATAAGACAGACGGGATGAAAGGGAGAATGAGGGGAAAGAGGGGAGGCAAATGAAAGGAGGAGACATAATTATAAAATGGCAAAAGAAAATCAATGCAGAGGGCATCATTGTGCTTTCAGGCGCCGAGCAGATAAAGGGTGGAGAACAGCAGTGTGTCCGTCAAATGCTTACACACCGGCGCATGTTGGTCTGATGCACAAAAGCACACAAGCACTTCAGATGCACACTGAAGACAACAAGGATGAGTCAAGCAGATGAGGCGCAGGGAGACAAGTGACATTTAAAGCTCAATTGAAGCATGTGATGACAAGGCCCAAAGATACACGACTGCAGCCTGTGTGCGAATGTGGATGAAGCCGTCAGCCCCAGAGTTTTTTCTTATTTTATTGCATTTTAGGTTTTAGTGAGGATGGAAACTCCCAAAGCTGGGCCTGTTAATGCTGTTAAACTGGGGACACACTTAAAGGGAGATAAGATTTCTCAGACTTCTTCACACATATTCTGATCTCTAACTTATTGAAAGCTAGTTTCAAAAGTAGGAGACATGCAGATGTTTTATTGAAATATATGAAACTGTATCAAAAAGGATACTATGCCGACAAGTTCATGTGGGGGTTAAAAATGCAAATATATAATTACGGGTTTACATACAGCGACAGTGCTGAATTTATCCAAGAATGAGAAAAGAAAAGATTTAAACATCTAAACCAAATCGCCTTTTCCAGAACTATGAAGGCACAAGAAAGCATCCCCGCAGCATGATGCTCCCACCACCATGTTTCAAAAGTAGGAATGGCTTAATTAATTTCCTCCACCTTTAGCATTTTACTCGTCTGCCAAAGAGTTCTGCAATAGCCTCATCAGAGCGAAGGGCATTTTTAAAGATGTGGATGAACTTTAAAAAGGGTTTTTGTTTGTCTGTACTTCTGGAAACTCTTTCATAACGACCAGATTTATAAAGTAGATCAGTGCTATTAAAATAATTTTTATATCAGGCAACATCAAGTCTTTAAAACAGCTGTTTACAGCTGTATGAATGAAACTCTGATATAAATTTTTTTCATATTTCAGGTTAGAAAACAAACAATTAACTATTAATTAAAGAAGAATCTTCTCAAAAAGTCAAAAAAACTGAAATATAAAATTCAGTTATAAATTATTTTAGGTGACATTTGATAAAGACAGAATGATGATTAAATCATCGTCAGCTGCTAGGAACATGTTTGATAAAATTCTTACATTCAACCATAATATTTGGATGTATGAACATATACATGTAAAATCACAAACATTGATAAGTACAAACAAAAAAAATAGTTCTGTAATAAACACATTTAATCATTTCCAAACTTTGAATGACTTAGCTTGACATGACCTATTCCAAGCCTTTTTAGACTCTTAAGGGCTAATTAGTAAATTAGCAGGCCAAATGTTTGACATGAGGAGCAGAGCATGAGGCACTGACCTCTGCAGCTCCTCCAAAGTGACCAATGAACTCTCGCTTTTTTTTTAGTATTCCTGCATGATCAATGGCGTGAGGAGGGATAAATATCAATGTATGCCACGTTTTTTAGATTTGTATTAGTTTTGTTAAAATACACTGAAGTCATCCTTTCCTCCTCCACTTTACATTGAAGAACAATTATTTTTCTGAATGTAAAGCAAAATATCACAAAAATGACAAACAAGGTTTCAGGAGATATGATGCATGTCTGTCAAGAGGTGCAACATAAAAACGGTACCGTTCCTCTTTGTGTTCTAGCCCTCATGTTAAGTATCACAACTCAGAATATGGCATAATGTGAATCTAATGAAAGGAACAGGAAACTACAGGTTACATTCCACAGCTGTTTTTATTTTTATTTTGTGTTTATCAGGACACACAAGCTGAAGAAAATTGAACTATTTCATCATTATCGTTATTGACTAACGCTGAAGCATCAACAGACCTCAGCATATAAACACAATGCCAGCCGATACACACCCTCACACACACTTCTGTTAAACTGAATGAGTGCTTATCAGTGTGGTGGTGGGACCACACACAACCGAGGACTGAAAGTCATAACAGTCGTAGGAGGTCCTCAACAAGCTGTCAGCATGTTTGGAAGTCTCCCTCCTCTCTCTGTGCTCAGAAAGAGGCTCCTCACCCAGACATTATTGGTTCTACTGCTGGCTCTACAACGTCTGTACTTCAGGTTTGCATCATCGCACAGGAATTTATATTACACATATTAAAAGTGCACAATATGTCAAATCACAACAGTTTTTGTAATATCGCTATTTTCAGTTTTGTAATCCCAGATGTTGGTTATTACATTTTAGCATTCAAACTCTGTTCTTTAATAATGTACTAAACTTGCCCGATTGGAGGGTCTAAACCAGGCATCCTCAAAATGCTTGAGGGCCGCTGTCCTGCAGGTTTTAGAGGTTTCCTGCTCCAGCACAGCTGATTTACATTGATAGTTGATTAACAGGCTTTTGCTGAACTTTAATCATCAGAATCAGCTGTGCTAAAGCAGAGAAACCTCTAAAAGCTACAGGACAGCGGCCCTCAAGGACCGAATTTTGGGATGCCGGGTCTAAACTGTCCTTTACTCGCACACTATATGTATATTTCTTTATTACTAAAGATCACAATAGATAGTACGAGCATTTTTATGCTGGGAAAGAAAAACGAGAGAGAAAAATGTCGGTTTTCCTGATATAATGCTGCCCTAATGTAAACTAAAGTTACTTTTTGTGATCATTAAATAGCTCCTGGCATCAGTGTGTCTGTAATTACAAACAGCAGAATTTAGCCAAATTAGTTTACTTTCTTGAATAACCCAACTACCCTTATAATTTATGCATATAAAATTGTTAAGGTTGGGTAATTAGGAAGGTCATTTCAGTAGTTTATTTTCCTGAATTCCTCATCTAGGAGTTATTACATGTTTGGGATCATTGTCCCATTAAAAACACCAACTGTGTTTAGGTTCCAACCAAGCAGCTGCTGACTTGAGTTGAAAGAAGTGAGGCTGGGCCTCCATGATATCTTTTCTACTCACCCTGCACAATGCAACACATTCTGGCATCAGTGTTCTGCTAGAACGTCAGCCTATGTCCAGCTTTTCGACAATCTTAACCCAACTGTTACCCTCAGAAGAGGGGAAATGGTTCGGGTGGTCAGGAAGACAGGTTTAAGCTCAGACCAGAAATGGGTTGAGCAATTTAAACATAATCCACAAACTATATAGAAACTATAAACATATATACAAATATAACAAAATATATAAAGAATGGATTTAATTAATACATAATTAACTATATAGGCCTCAATTAAATATATAGATTTTATTTTAAGAAGTGATTATCAAAATCACACATCCATCAAAGTCAAGGAGGCGGGACCAGGGTTGCCGCCATAGAAACCCTCACGTTTGATTGTCTGCTTCTCACCGAGCAAAATAAAACAACTTCATCCTGGAAATATTTTACTATAAAATCAATATTAACATTGAAAAGGTAAAAGTAACTCAATACACCTCTCAAAACTTATTTGCAGCATAATGGGTAAGTAATTCTAGCCTCTATATTCATTATTTGGTCTGACTGACTAACACTGGCTCATGTTCTCACATTAGAGACCTAAATAGGTCTATAGAGGCTGGAGTTTCTCACTCAAAATGTGTAAATAGTAACACATTTTTTTAAATTATTTACAACTTTTATGTGAAAATATTGACTTTAGAGTAAAAGAGGTAGAAGTTGTCTTATCTTACTACGGGAGAATCAGCCAATCAGATGTCAGCGTTTCTATGGAAGACCCGTCCTTGGAGTTTGATAGTTGAAACTGACAGTTTAACTACAAAGAAAAATAATGAAATGTAAAAGAATTCATTTTCCAAAAATGACTATTACTAATGTCATCATCTAAAATAAATGTTTTAGTACTGTATTCAATGTCAGATTAATTTATTTTATTTGACATTTCCTACTTTAATGGTATATTTCATTATTCAATGATGTATGAAATACATACATTTATTTATGTCATTCTTAATTTACACCCATCTATTTAATGTTTTTTTATTTATTTAATTTTGTCCCCCTTAACCCTCCATAGTTGTTTAAAGCTTGGCATGAACTGTGCCATGTCTGTCTGTGACTATAATTAACTCACTTTATAAAACCCCAAAAAGACAACAGAACATTCTGACCCTCATATTTATGTAAATACTTGACGTATTTCACATTTACCCAATATACTATTAGAACATACTTTAACACAATGATCCTAGTTTTAATGAAAGTTTTCAGATGATCAAAGGGATTGTTGTTGCCATAAACCATAAAAAACAAATAAAAGTTAACCTATTTGCACCTTGCATGTTTGAGTCCATACATCAGCTGCTCCTGCAGTAAAGAACAAAAAATCCTCTGCAAAAATACTTTCTTTAACATAATAACTATAATCTGCTGAACTGAAAGTAAACAGATCGGCATGTGGATGCTTCTCTGGCCTAATTATGATGTGTATGTTTGCCGGCTGCAGAATCTGACAGAAAAATTACAATCCTGCTTCTGTTGTGTTTGATCCAGAAGCACAGAAAGCTCTGGTTATCAAACAAAATAAATGATAAAACCCACCCATCACATTAACATCTGAGAGAGAAAG